CAAGGCAGTTTACATCATTAAAAGACAAAATATAAAGCTAAAAACAGTAAGTATACAAATACTAGAAAGGGTGAAATACTACACTACAACAGGGTATACAAGAACAACACCAAAACAACATTAAAAAGCATTAAGGCAGAACAATCCATTTTAACACCTACCTGCCCAGTCTCTTGTGGGAGGGAGTTCCAAAGTCTGGGAGCAGCAACAAAGAAGCCCCTCTCCCATATTCCCACCAATCATACCTGTGAAGGTGGTGTGACTAAAAGAAAGGCTTCTCCTGAGGACCTTAACACCCAAGCATGCTCATAAAGGAAGAAGCGGTCTTCAAGATGCTTGCCTTCAGCTGGTGGCACATTCAATGGAACCCAGCACAGCTCTTCTCCAGCTTTGTTTGACATATTTTTGTATCTGTTTACATTCTTTAAGTGGTGGTGTGATTTAAAAAAAAAACAACCAAGCAATTAATATGTGCCATGCTTCCATAATTAAAAGATGAAAGATGGGATAATTATTTATAACATGGTGTCATTTCTGGAGTGACAGTTGTAAGAAATGTGACTGAGTTGTCACAGTAGCAGAAATATGGCAGTATTCAACTGGCAGTGTAGTCAGCTTCTGCACCAGGAGGCAGATGTCTCAGGTGGAAGATGGTAGGCTGCAGCAAAAGCAGCCCGTTGGCTGATCCTTCTGAGTTCCCTAAACATTTCTCTCTGCTTGTAAACCGAGCTCTGAGTGGTACATAGTCTGTCCCATTTTCCTAAACCAACCTGCTATTCCTCCAGCACGGTGATGTTGGGTGCTCTTCCATTGCCCATTTTCATCTGGCAGTCTAGTGAGGGCCCCATCCTGTCCTTCACGCCATTCAACAAAATGCCTTAGCCTCACTGTGAAATCCTGCACTGCTCATCTCAGACTCAGAGGCTTTCTGTAAGATTAAAAGAACTCCATAAAGTCCAGAATGGTGATTACAGAGTTCTTGCAACCGGCTACTTAATTTGCCAGGTGCAAGGAAAGCATAACAAAAGGAGGGACTTCCAAGATGCTGTTACCCCACTACTTGCTCAAATGAAATAAATTCCATTCTTCAGAGGAATCAAGCAAGATTGTGGCAGTGTAAACAAAACTCTCCAGGAAAGAAGAGGACAGGATCTTGAGCAGAAACTGCAACAGAAATAAATCGTGGCAGTGTAAACAAAACTCTCCAGGAAAGGAGAGAACAGGCAGGATCCTGAGCAGAAACTGCAACAGAAGTAAATCATAATTATCAGCAAGAGTAATGGAGTCCAGAGTAAAAATCGTTCTGCTATATTTATCAGAACAAACCTATCCATTCTAAAGGAAATCAACCCTGAGTGCTCACTGGAAGGACAGATCCTGAAGCTGAGGCTCCAGTACTTTGGCCATCTCATGAGAAGAGAAGATTCCCTGGAAAAGACCCTGATGTTAGGAAAGCGTGAAGGCAAGAGGAGAAGGGGACGACAGAGGACGAGATGGCTGGACAGTGTCTGCGAAGCTACCAACATGAATTTGACCCAACTCCGGGGGGCAGTGGAAGACAGGTGGGCCTGGCATGCTCTGGTCCATGGGATCACAAAGAGTCGGACACGACTTAACGACTATAACAACAACATATTTATCTTGTCATGTGACAAAAGCAGATCTTCTCAGGTTTTCATCCATCAATTGGAAATGTCCACTTCATCAGGGTGCAGCACTAGGAGCTGAGCTACTCCATCAATTCTGCCAAGACCAAAATACTTTTTCGTATTATGCCTTATTAACTAACCAATAACTAATAAATACATTTGACAGTAACTACAAATAATTACTCGCTACACCAGTACAGTAACTTTTTTCTTACATATTCTGCTAAGTTTAAGTTTAAACTCTTAGCTGTTAGCATAGGCAGAGTGAGGCAATTGCCTTGCGTGGAAGATGCTGAGAAGAAAGCAGTCATCCCTTAGCTGTTCCTCCACAGCCCATAACTATATCCACTCTTGAAAAATAGCTTTCTATCTCACATTAGTACACAGTGTGTGTGTACTCCACAAATGATGCTGCTGCCATCAGATATGTCAGTGAATCCTATTCCATTGCCATGATTGAATTAAACCTCAACTGCTGATCCCAGCAGCTTCTGCATGAGGCATAGACAAAGGTGCCACCTTGTCCCTTGCCTTCAGGAGCAAGCGGAATGTAGTTGTTTTGCATACCAAGAAACTGCATTTTCATTATAACTAAACCTTTGTCAGTGCCACAAAGGACTGATGAAATATATCACCAACCAACAACACCTTTGAGCTGTTAGGTCAGTAAGAGATCTAGATTAACATCAAGACTAGATGGCTTGCCCCAAACTGAGTGGGTAAATAAATAAGGAAAACATCTGAGAGACAGACACTAATGGGCAGGCCACACCCTTCCCACACAATACCACGAGGAAAATGTTAACTGGCAGATTATTTTGATGTGTGAGAAGTCAGTCATAAAAGGTATACAACATGAAATGTGAGTAGAAAATTAAAGGTTAAAGCTAAGGCTGGGAATAAAATGAGAAATGCAGTTCTCATTCAAGATTCAGAGTGGGTGGCTTTTTTTCAAAGGTTGCCTTATAATTGCCACAGCAATGTATCATCCGAATAATCCCAACACAGACAGTTGGAGTGTTGGGAATAGAAGGGCTGAAGTTTATTTCTTCTCCCAAGTACTCCGTATGCATTTTGATGTTGATTATTTCTATGGCAACATCATGAATTTATTCAAATCTTCAGTATTTGTGTATCAGGTGCTGAGATTTTGGCACCTTATGATATTCTCCAGTTATTTGGCAATGCCAATAATTTTAGGAAGCTGGCTTTGTGATTTAGGTTCTGTTATGCATGATTGACGGTTTACAACATTCGACAGTAGGTGGACAAAGGTGTTTGGCAACCCACTGCGAATAGTAAAGGGAAACTATACTTTTGAATCAATTCCAAATTGACAGCAACTCATACATCCCAAGAAGGGTGAACAAATAATATATATGAAGGAGGCATATAACCCATGCTTTTAGTGGAACCTAAAACATTGCATAAACACAAAACAGAAATTTGTCTTCAGAAATAATAAGGGAACTGGCTGGGTCAGACTGAGGTGCATACCTACAACAATAAGAGCAACGTTTTTTTTCCTATGCTACTCCATAGTAGAATACACTAGTGCCATATGGTATAAATCACCACATGCCAAACAAGTCAATGTAGCTCTTAATGAATCATGCAGGATTATTACTGGCACCATGACACCTACCCCCAATGAAATCAAGAAAAGGTTTCTGGGTACATTTCAGACTCTAAACATTAAACCAGAAAAGGCTAGGTGAAACCTTTGGAGAAGAAAAACAACATACCTTGCTGAATGGATGAATGCTCAAGAATATCTTCTACTAGGACAAGACTCTGACTGGACTATCTGGAAATCACTTAATAGATTTTGATGTGAAGTAGGAAGATAAAAGACTAATCAAGTAAAATAGGTCGACTTGATTACAGGATAAATTTCCTGTGGCTGCAAAGAAATTCAATCAATGCAGTATTTACTGCATGTGCATGCAATTTATGCCCCGCCACATGTACAAAAGAAGATCTAGCAAATGGCTGAGATAATACTGCTAAGTAGCCTGCTTCTAGTAAAAAAAATATTCTAATTACCTTAACGTTTTAGTTTGTTTTAATTTTACTTGTTTTAGATATACCCATAGTTTTAAAATGAGCAATGTTCTGATAGAGTGGTCATGTTACCAGATAGGCGGGATATAAAATAAATAAATAAATAAATAAATACATAAATACATAAATAAATACATTAAAAAATACAAAGACATTTTAAAAAAAGAAATATGGAAACCCCAACCCCCCCCCAAAGCATGTGAGTTGTTTTGACTCAGTCTAACATTTTACATAAGTTTGCATTTCAGGTGTTTGACAAATTTCTTCCTGTAGGCAAAAGATAGACTATTATTCATCTCAGTTCCAGTATTTGTTGCCAAGTGTACATCATGAAAAAACACCACACAACAATGTTGCTTAATTTTTTTCCCCAAGGAACTGCTGACTCGTGCAACATCTCCGACGAATTCTGTGATATCTGCAGGCAGCTTTGCCTTTGGGAAGTTATCCTTGGTATGAATAATTACTGCATCCACTGCTACAAGTTTAGAAAGGGAGGAGGATTTTTTTAAAAAAATCCCCAAAGAAAGGAGACCAACCAGTACTGGTGACACCCCATGCAGAAAGTATAAATAGAGACAGTTGGGAAGTGGAGTCCAGCAATCTTATACCGTATCAAATCGTGCCTCTTGCTTTCTGCTTAGCTTTAGAGATTCCTTCACTGCTGCCACTATGAGCTATGGTGCAAGGCACACCGTCTTAACTCCTGGGAGAAGCAGCAGTGGGAGCTGCACCCTCAGTGGAGGAAGGGTGGGGGCCGCCTCAGTCTCCTCTGGACGGTACACTTCCTGTGGAATTGGCAACGGGAGAGCTAACTTCTCTGGCCGGAGTCATGTCGGAGGAGGTTCCACCTGCGCCTACGGAGCAGGACGAGGCCATTTTTCGAGTGGCAGCTGCAGTGGGCCATTTGTTGGTGGTGGCCATATGGGGGGAAATGGCTTTGAGGCTGGCTCTCATATGGGGAACTCTGCTGCTAGAAACATTGCGGTAGGCAGTGCAGGTGGTGGTCATCCAGGTGTAGTCGAGGGTATGCCCGGTGGCATGGTAAGCGGTGCCCATGGTGGCGTTGTAGGGGGTATTCCTGCTGGGATGGTAGGTGGCATGGGTGGCATGGTTGCCGGTGGTCATCCTTGTGGTGTGGTTGGGGCTGCCCCCAATGGTATGGTAGGCAGTATGGGTGGTGTAATGGGTCATGGAGGCATGGCTGGTGGCATGGGTGGCCCTGTTGTGGTTGGTACCCCTGCTGCCTTTGGAGGCGTGTTCTCTAACTTTGATGGGAAAATGACCATGCAGAACCTCAATGACCGACTTGCCAGTTACCTGGACAAAGTCCGATGCTTGGAGGAGGAAAATGCTGCGCTGGAGGGTCAAATCAGGGAATTTTATGCCAAACAAGGGGCACTTGGTGAACCAAAGGACTACTCTCATTTCCACCAGCAAATTGAAGATCTTAAAAACCAGGTAAGACAGCAATCTTTATAATATTTTTTTCATAATTTTATTGCATTTTTGCTGATGCCCACTATGATCAACAAGTTCTTCTGCTTGGTTTCAACTTAAAACATCAGAGTTTTGGAGATTTTTCATTGTGACTGCGTGAAACCGAATGACATTTATGATCACCATGACATGAAAATGATGAATTCTTCAAATACCTTTGGATTTGTTCTTGAGTTCACAACAGTGGGCCCAATTTTGTTAGCAATCACAGACTATAACTGGAGGCATTCCATGATGGCTCTAGCCATCTTCAGTTTGCAACTCTCCAAGCTGGTAATCTCCCCTGTGTGTGTGTCCAGCAGTTTGTGTGCGTGTGCGTGTGCGTGTGCGTGTGCGTGTGCGTGTGCGTGTGCGTGTGCGTGTGCGTGTGCGTGTGCGTGTGCGTGTGCGTGTGCGTGTGCGTGTGCGTGTGCGTGTGCGTGTGCGTGTGCGTGTGCGTGTGCGTGTGCGTGTGCGTGTGCGTGTGCGTGTGCGTGTGCGTGTGCGTGTGCGTGTGCGTGTGCGTGTGCGTGTGCGTGTGCGTGTGCGTGTGCGTGTGCGTGTGCGTGTGCGTGTGCGTGTGCGTGTGCGTGTGCGTGTGCGTGTGCGTGTGCGTGTGCGTGTGCGTGTGCGTGTGCGTGTGCGTGTGCGTGTGCGTGTGCGTGTGCGTGTGCGTGTGCGTGTGCGTGTGCGTGTGCGTGTGCGTGTGCGTGTGCGTGTGCGTGTGCGTGTGCGTGTGCGTGTGCGTGTGCGTGTGCGTGTGCGTGTGCGTGTGCGTGTGCGTGTGCGTGTGCGTGTGCGTGTGCGTGTGCGTGTGCGTGTGTGCGTGTGTGTGTGTGTGTGTGTGTGTGTGTGTGTGTGATGACTTTGGCCAGTGGCAATTCATTTTTTCTTCCAGACTTGTTATTTTCATTCTATTTTTTAAAAATTAAAATATTAAAAGTTTGTTTAGTTGTTATTTTATGATGGAGACACTACAGCATTGTTAATCCAGATGAATAACTGACACAATATCTTAATTTTACATTTGAATTGCACCTTAATGTTTATCCTTCCAGCACTGTGGACGAGTGCACTTTTCCCCCCCATCATGGTGACTTGTTTAATATTCTGTCATACACATGGTAAGCTGATATACACAAATACCTTTCTGCCATGGGAACAACCCACCACTGGAAGGAACTTAACTAATAGTTGTCTCGTATGCTCCCGGAGGTGGTGCCCCTGTGAGATACAGGCAGCTGGACTAGATGGGTCCTTGGCCTGATCCGCAGGGCTCTTCTTATGTTCTTAGGCAATAGTTGTAGTTTATCCAGCAGGGCTCTTCTTCTGTTCTTATGCAATAGTCGTAGTTATATGTGCACCACCACCAAAGAAAGCAGAAGAAAGCAATGGGTGCTGTTTGGATTGCTGAGATGGTGGAAGGTGTGATGTGTATGAATCCAGTCCTGTCACAATTCCTAAAGATATACCGTCCATAGAAAGGTGGTTTCTTTTCACAGTCTTCTGGTTCAACTATATATATATATAACAGTTACACATATATAACTGTTTATAGAGTTTATTCCATATATATAATCCATAACATGATACTAGTGAAGGAGCTTCGTGGTGCTGTGGTTAAACTGCAGTACTGCAATCAAGATTCTGCTCATGATCTGAGTTTGATCCTGAAAGGCTCAGGTAGGTGACTTGAGGTTGACCCAGCCTTACATACTGTACTTCCAAGGCCAGTAAATTGAGCACCTAGCTTGTTGAGGGACAATATGTAGTCTGCATAATTAAATTGTAAACCACCCGGAGAGTGCTTTAAGCACTATGGGGTGATAAATAAGCAACACACTTTTGCTTTGCTTTAGTGTTAGGCTGTAGGTGTGTAATTCCTTCTTTGGCAGGAGGGTTGGACTCAACGAACCATGAGTTCCCTTCTGATTCTGCCATTCTATCCTTCTGCGAGGAACACCTGGTGTGATGGATACTGTCTCAACCTTAACACTAGATGATCCGAAGCAGGAGAGAACAGGGCAGGGTCATAACATAACCAGCTTCTCAAAATCTTGTCTTTATCCAGCTCATTCATACAAGCGTGGAGAACAATAAACTCCTGCTGTGCATTGACAATAGCAAGCTGACTGCTGATGACTTCAGAACCAAGTGAGTATCCACAGGCATAGAGCAAAGGAATCTGAATTTTATTGGGTCCCAAAAGGGGGAATATTATTATTGAGATCTCTGGGACCCAAGCTGTCTATCAAGAGAGACTGAGTGGATCTGGGGGTATTTGCCCTTTCAGAAAGAATGGAAGTGCCTATTCTGGGGGGGAAACAGAGTCTCTGCATGAAACTGTGGGCTGCCTATGCCATAGGGCAGATAGTTGGGGATTTTGATTCAAAGCACATGGGAGTAAAGCTAACATTTTGTTTTGCCAAGAACCCATCTTGTTTGTTGATTGCTTTCCAATATCCTCTTTCTATACTCCGTCATAATCAGCAGCAGGCAGAAGAAGCATTTCTGAGGATAGAGATGCCGGAGCACAGATCATTGCTCCATTACTTTTGTTTGTTTGATTGTGTGTGTGTGTGTGTGTGTGTTTTGAATATGTCTTTCAGAACCCCAGTGGCCATGCTAGGTGAGGGATTCTGGGATTTGCAACCCTCTGAAAGTAGCTCCTCCCACCTCTAGGTGGGATTAAAAAAACATGAAAGCTTGCATTCTCAGGAGAAAATAGGATGCTTGCCTTTGGCTGTCCCTGCGGAGGTAGACAGGTTATAATTTAGTAAGATTCTCATCCTCTGTTCTCTGTGGCTCAGGTATGAGACAGAATGCTGCCTCCGTCAGAATGTGGAGGCTGATATTAATGGCCTGCATCAAATCCTGGATCAGCTGACAGCCTGCAGGGCTGACCTGGATGCTCAGAGCGAGAACCTGCAGGATGAGCTGTGTTGCTTGAAGAAGAACCACGAGGAGGTAAGGTGTTATAGCTTTCTTTTTAATGACGTCTGAACTGGCTGTTGAATCTTTCATTAGCACTGGTGATGGGACAGCATCCTCTACCTCGACTGAAGGCAACAGCATAGTTTAAGGGCACAGGGCAGGCTGCTTAGCACATAGTTCTTTCCCTCCAAAATCTTGGTACTGCCCTCCAGGATCTGCTAAACACTTCACTTTGCCTAATGTAGACTGGACTGCCTTGGATTGCCAGCTGTCTTTGTCAAAGGCTTGACCCAGAGGTACGGATTTCATGCACAAAGATGTAACAGACCCAAATCCAACTAGATAGTCCCGACTAGAGTAGAACCATTAAATTAAATTTGATAAATGCTGGCATATCAAATTCTCATAGGCTCATGGGGTCTCCAGTATTAGGGATGTTTTAGTCATGCTGTCATTTTATCTCAGCTCTATTTATTGTCTGTGTAATACAGTACTTGGAACCTATGTTTTGATGTCATAATAAACATACTCTTCTGTGATGTTACTGAATGTAGCCAACAGCATTTTGAAGTGTGAAGCAAGTTATGAAAGTTATGAAAAGGGCAGGTACATTAGGAAAACATATTCTACCGAAATAAAGTTTCTTGCTTTAATTGTTTTGCATTTATCCAGGTTGCAACTGAGTTTTGTTCCCAAATGCAAACGTGTTTTTACATTTTTTTTGAACAAAGCACAATATGTTTTCTGCTTGATTGCTATGTATACATTTAGAAGAGAATTTATGTCTTCTCTTTTCTCACCAGGCTGCTTTGGCTTCTTCATAAGCATATTTCAATATATTCAGAAAAAAGTTTGTTGGGGAACCATGTGTTGGAATGATAGCCTTTGTCAAGAAGCCAAAAGCTTTGGCAAGCTAGCGTGGCAGGGAAAAAAGAAACAAACTTTAATATGGTTTACCCAATTTTAGTTTTCTCCTTCCAGGGAACTGTTTACTATGGGAAGCATTCAGTTACATGGGGATTCTACCTGCACCTTGTGGTGTACTGGCACGGCTTCAGGAAAACTGTACCAAATGCTTTTGCACAGACAGGACCTAGGACAGAGATGGATAACTATAGCCCTCCAGACAGGGGTAGCATAGAAAATGGAAAACAGAATGAGCATATAAGAAACTGCCAGGGTGGCTGCAGTTCCATTTGTTTTCTGATCTTTCTGCAGGAAATAACCTGCCTGAAGAAACAATGCACTGGTGATGTCAGTGTGGAAGTCAATACATGTCCTGGACCGGATCTGAAGAAGATCCTGGAAGAGATGAGGTGCAAATATGAGACTATGATTGAAGGCAATCGCAAGGAAGTCGAAGCCTGGTATGGATCTAAGGTAAACTACTGTATATATCTTTAGGTTCATAATACATAAAGCTAAAGGCTAGCACAAGAGACTATGATGGACACTGAGATATAAACTTTCCCAATTCTGTGCATTACAGATTGAGGAGGTCAACCGTGATGTCTCCAGTAGCAGTCAGGAGATTGAAGAAAGTAACAACAAGGTCACTGAACTGAGGCGCCAAATGCAAGCCCTAGAGATTGATTATGATGCCCAATGCAGTCTGGTAAGCGAGCGACCAGGAGCTCCTGGATCACTGGAGACACAGACTGGTGTGTGGAATAAGGGGGGAGGAACTAGCTATGGCAAGCAATACCATGTCTCTTTCCCAAATTGATTTGTTTTGATGATGGCCAATTGGCCATCACAATTTCTATACTCTAATCCATTTCACACCACCCAAAAGCATGCAGTCTTCTCGGAGGACTAGTGAACTCATCATTACTTAGATACTTACTCCCATTACCTTCAAAAAGTTTTGACGACACTTGATAACTTTGTATCAGAACAGAACATTAAGAGTGAATCTGGCTCTAAGGATCTCCAGCTGTGCTGTGGAACATGACACTAATTCATTGGCTGAAATCCTGTTGCACAGTTATGCAAAAGTTGCAACTTTTGTGGCAAATTGCAGCAAGTCAAGAAATCTGCATGGACATTGTCTACTGTCTACTGAATCATATGAGTCAGCATTCATCAGATCATGCTTATGAAGAGCTCTTGCAGCAATTCACTTCTAAAAGTTATTTTCTTTATGTAACTGGACGACAGGATTTCAGCCATTGTGTCTGATGATCTGGCAGGGCTTGGGGTGAGCAAAGGTTCCCAAAGAAAGGTCCAAAATGTGTATTCATACTTCTGCCCAAATGCTGAAAGAGGGGATACAACTCTTTCTTTAGGGGATAAAACTCACTCAATCTTCTAGCCATATACTTTAAGAAAAATTAATACCACCCAATACAGAAAACGATATGGATAATTTCATGTTTACACACTCACTATCATTAGTGTGCCTTATCCCAAGGTCTCTTTTCAAATTGGGGGATGGGGACTGCATGGGCACATAGGTACATACTTATAATATAGATCTCAATGCACTCTAAAACACACATATATTCCAGCAGAGTGACACGGGGAGGTTTAAACCTCTCTTTCTCACCCAGTGAGATCTTGGAATTGCTGGGTAAAGGTGGAAGTTTCTATCCACCATGCTGCTGGCAATCTTCACTGAGGTCTAAGATGGGAAAGGTTATTTCCTGTATCACACCTCCCAGAAGCCACTTGTGAGTCCAGTTCATCTTGGACGTGTGTTTTCAATTCAAAGAGAATGTTTGCTAACACACTCCATTTACACTGCTCTCAGTCATCCATGTGGCATAAAAAGCTGAGGACATTTAAAGGATAGCCATGCAGGATTGGACAAGGTCTTGGAGTTTTGACAATACACAGCCTCATATCTTGGAAAATATAACCATTTTTGAGAGACATATAATCTAGTTTTATTGGTTCTTTCTCCACTCTTTCCCTTCTTATGGTGCTTAAGTGGCTGAAATTGTGTGGTGTAATTTTATGCACATTTGCTCAAAACAAGTCCTGCTGTGTTCTATGAGACTTATACTTTTGAAAGTTTGTTTAGAAGTATAGCCCCATAGTAATGTGCGTATTTTACTCAGCCATCAGTCATGAAGGCCAGAATCTTATTCGTGATTTATATTTGCATAAGTAAAATCACACAAGTCTTGGTGGCAAACAGCTGCTTGTCAAGGAAGTACTGATTAAGTTTCTGCGTGCATCCCCAGTGGCAAAATTAGACACGTGACCAGGAACACAACCCAGCACAAATGTAAATTGGCTGTAGGTTTCTGGCTGTTGGGTTCAGCAGGATTTGCTCCTTTGCAAATGTATATAAGATTGCAGTTTTAGATACGGAAAGACCATGTTCATGACTAAATCATGGATCTTGTATTAGAGAATTTTTAAACTTCAGTTGACTCTCAACATTTCCATATAGCCAGTTATGAACTGCACACCTTTTGAAAAAGAGAAATAGGCTTCTGTTTCTTTTCTCAGAGGGACACCCTGGAAGCCTCACTGGGTGAAACGGAACATCGCTACAACAACCACTTGGCTGAACTTCAGGAACGCATCTCCTGCTTGGAGCAGCAGCTGGCAGAGCTGAGGGCAGAGATGGAGTGCCAGAACCATGACTACACAGAGCTCCTGGATGTCAAGAGCCGCCTGGAGCAGGAGATTGCCACATATCGTGGCTTGCTAGAAGGGAGCCAGCATGATATTGTGTAAGTAGCAGGCAGGAAGAGACACTGGCACTCCCACAAACTCTAGGAGTAGGAAGTGTAATAGAAACAAAGCAAGGAAACTAGCCTGGTGGTTCTATTTCTGCATGCATTGCACAAGGTACTCCTGGATTCGTCCCTGAGCCTGGATGCCCAAATTTTGACAGTGGCCAGGAGTGCATTTACATAATTAAAACTGTGAGCCACCCGCGTCTGTTCCTGGAGAGTTCTGATCTGGCCACAGTGACACATGCCTTAGTTGCATCCCCGGCTGGATTACTGCAACACACTCTATGATCTAGCCACAGTGACACATGCCTTAGTCGCATCCCCAGCTGGATTACTGCTGCACACTCTGTTATGTGGGGCTGCATTTGGATAGTGTCCGGAAACTTCAGTGGGTCCAAAACATGGCAACTACATTGCTGACGGGGGCTGGTCAGAGGGATCACGTAATGTCCCTGGCTGCTGATCCATTTCCAGGCACAAATCAAAATGCTGGTTCTAGCCCATAAAGCCCTGGGTCCAAGCTATTTCAAGGTCCATTCCTCCTATTATGAGCCTGTTCAGAAATTGTGATCTTCAAAAGAGGCCTTTCTCTTGGTTCCACCACTTTCACTGGTATGGTTGGTGGGGACATGGAAGAAGGCCTTCTCTGTTGCTGCTTCCAGACTTTGGAACTCAAGTTGTTCCAGGCCAGCCCCATCTTTGCTGTCCTTCTCTCTTCAGGCAGGCTTTTCTTCAATGACTGGCTGTCTGAATGGTTTTTTTAATTGATTGGTAGGCATTACTTCTTTATATACATTTTTACTATTGCCTTTGTTTACTATATCTCAGGGTGGTGCTTGTTTGATCTATTTTAGTATTTGTATACTTATTGTTTTTAGCTTTAAATATTGTCTTTTAAGGAGGCAAGCCACCTTTGCACACTCATTTGGTTTTAGCATTAAATGTTGTCTTTTAATGATGAAAGCCATCTCGGGGTCCTTTTTAAGAAGAAAGTTGGGGTAAAATATTTTAAATAAATAAATACATTCTCTGTGCAGAACAGGCAGCAGGGATGGCACTACAGTACGGTCCGGCAGACTGAAGTAGCCTACTCTCATGGATGATCTTTGGGACCAGGGAGCAGCAAGAAATCATTCTAGGACACTGTTGTATGTGCATTGCACAGCTTATACTGTGCCCCATAAGATGGCCTGTTGCTCTCAAGTAACGTAGAGACAGCCAGCAGTGAAGTAAAGGTTTAGGTTCCAGTCTGTCTGGCTTTGGTAAATGGAATGGGTGAAGGATACCATTTGGTCCTTCACTTTAGGCAAGAAAACATGCTGGGGTGGCCCCAAAAACCAGTGTGATTTGATCTGAGAACTGGGGAATCCAGGTTCATAGCACACCTGTCAGGGAGGTAACCCTAGAAAAATGATTATTATTTTTAATTTATATAATGGGTATAATAATACTACCTAACCCAGCAGGGCTGTAATAAGGATGATAGAGATAATGAGTTTGAATTGCTTTGAAAGGTCACCATGTGCCATATAAATGCTGAGTGTTGTTATTACTGAGTGCCAGAGTGTTATTGTATTACCATGCAGGCTAAAAACATAATTAACAAACAACTCATTTGGATGTGTGAAACGCACAGACTGAAACCCTCCCTGGGCTGCAAAACAGAGGAGGTAGTCACGGGAATTTCAGAAACAACAAACCATATCTTGAAGATTTTATATATATAAATATATATCATAATCCACAGAAACTCACACACATGTATATGTGAGTTTCTGTGGATTATGACTCACTTCTGAAGACATAGAGAACACAAAATTTGGGACACAGGTTTGTACGCAATCAGTTGTAGTTCAAAACATCTGGATGTCCAGATGTTCCTGCCCCTGTTGTAAGTAATGGTTTAGGAAAATTTACGAGAAGAAGACAAAAAGGTGCCTCTAGCAGAAATGGACCTGATTCCAGTTTTTTACTTACCATTTTGCCTGTCCAAAATGTTTTATAGGTGTTTTTCCTGATCAAGGGTCTTCTTTTCCCTTCACAGTGGAGGAGGAGGAACCTCTAGTAGAGTCAGCAGTACATCGGGTGGAAGATCTGGTGAAGTCCACTCATCCCACACTTATGTGACCCATTCTTGGGGTAATTCTGCAGGACATTCTGCAGGACATTCTGCAGGGCATTCTGCAGGTCATTCAAGCCATGGAGGCCATTCACATCATTAGGCTGTGAGAAAGAGGTGCATGAGGTGAGATCTTTTTTCTTTTTTTACTCCTCACTTTCCCACAGTCCTAGGTTCTATAAGAAAAAAAAAGGTGAGAATTAAGTTGCCACCTTCTGGGACAAAAGTGGTACCTGGAGGTAGAAGCAGGTCTTTGAAAACCCTAAATTTTGACCAGTTTGAGATCTCTCAGGTGAAATCCTGAGAGGCTTAACTAGAAGCTGTTGTAAGAGAGCAAAGATCAGAACGACGGTACCTGATACCTGTATTAATATTTATCACTAATAAGACATTAAAAACAAATGAAGCATTGTACACAGATTGAAAATGAAAGAGGTTCTGTTCCTAGGCTTACAATTTAAAATTTTTAGAAAGAGAAGGGGCAAGAGGCGAAGTGCAACTAGACAGCAATTGTTACAACATGGTTATACTTGTAATAATTATTAGAAGCAAGTGAGGATGTTAATAAGTAATCATTAAATGGAAGGAATCTGGGAAGAGGAGGGCCAAATGGCTGTTGGTGCCTCAACTGAGATGATCATCTCCCTCTCTGCTGTAGTCTGGTGGAATGGCACCTTATAATTGACATTTGGGGAGGGACAGGAGGGACCAAGTGGCAGCTTGTCTCTTAGCTAAGCCCATGGAGAAGTTCTTGATGCTCCATGTCTCCCTCTTCTGCAGCCAGGTGGAATGGCAACTAAAGATAACTGCTAAGGGAGAAGAGGCTCCACATAACAGTTGGCCTCTTTGCCAAACAAACAGAGATGGGTCTGCTGCCACATCTCATGTCTATTTCGTGCTATGGGAATCGAACAGAACAATTGTGCATGAGCCACACAAAACGGCAAGATGTTCTCAACTTGGTTCCCTTCAGATATGCTGTAATTCTCCCATAATCTCCAGGCAAATGTGTCCCCATAATTCCCAACCCATAATACCTAGCTAGCTGGGTGGGGATAATGAGAACACACTGGGAAATGAATAATGGACTGTTTAGACGTGATCCAGGTTGCTAAATGATTAATAATTATATGACCAAAATTATATTGGGTGTTACATTTTATATTAGTATCATTAGTTATGGACATACTGTTACCTTTTTCGTTGCTGTAATAATTAAGCTGTGTTGCCTTTACTCATCTCCAGAGAACTGCAGCAGAATGGACGGAGACCAACCTATGCCAGAGAAATGTTATTAGTAGTTCTTCCAAACTGCTGTTTCTTCATTTCTCCAAACTGATCAAAGCTCCCACTTTGAGCTTTCCTCCATGCTACTGCGTCTTACCCATTATTCCTCAAGATGCCACCTGTGCTGTTTCGCTTTCTTACCAAGTATACGTTAGTGCCGTGGTTAGCTAGTTACTAACCACAGAAAACAAAAGTTGTCCAAAATAAATCTCTGCTTTTCTCTGTGCGCTATCTAAGGACTGTGTGTTCAGACTGTCTTCTCTCATCAAAACTTTTAAAGCACTATAAAAATCATATTGACCAGCAAGTCACAAACAACAAATGTAGGTAGCACCCTACACAGCTATCACAACAATAATGGAGCCCATTTTGTTCTGAACATTCCATACCCCCTGACTGATGTCACTGTTCTCTTAAAAATTACAGGTATTGTGTGTGTGACTGAATATATACGAAGTTTTGCATTAAGGGAACATGTATATATCAGTACACAAGTCTTCTAGATAAAAACTCAGAAGTGATCTACCCTTCCTTTCTTCTGGGGACACCCTGGGACTGTTCAGTTTGCTCAGTAGCACCCTTACTTCCCTTCTTTGTAAAACAATAATTATAATATGGACAAGCGTGGCAGGGTACCTAGTGAATTCTTTCAGTTCTCCTTTGTGACTGTCCCATTTAGATATTTAAGGCTAAACAAGGAAGAATGAGCACTAAGCTCTTTTTATTTGGTAGTGAAAACAGCTCTGTTCCCCACACTCTGCAGCTCACCCCCCCATCAAGGAAATTCTTCTCTTTTGCTCATGCACCCTTTATATATTGCTTGAGATTGTTCAAAGCACTCCACATATATTCTTTGCTTGCTCTTTTTATTGAGGGTGGAGAACTGAAGCTAACAACTAGGGCCTTGCCAAAAGCCATGAACTGTACATGCAGGAACAAGATTTGATTAGACATAACTTTCTGGTTTACAGTTTAGACTGTGTGCTTGCCTATTGGGCTAGATTCCATACAGATAATTGTGTTTTTGAAATGACATATGTGCGACCTTTCACATTAATTAACGAGTATTAATTTTTGCTAGTCAGAGAAGCCTCTCACCTTACCATGCATTAGTCAACCAATTTAGCACTCCTGAAAGAAATATCTGGTTAACTTCTGAAATTTCTAATTAAGTCACACAATCAAACATAACCCCCCCCCAAAAAAAAGATATCATTTTTTGGTTGCTTCTCATGTCCTCTCTGCTGACATTCTACCACATCAAATGACAGAAATTACTAACCTATGGAATCCTCACATAATCCTATATCCCTTTATAAAGCCTCCACTTCTCTGTACCACAGATGCAAGGCTCCTTCTGTTTGGGTGTGGAGATTATATAATACTTGGGTGTTCCCCCTTGGATTGGGGGGGGATGCCAACAAGATTTTGGTATTTACACTGCAGGCTGCCTGAGCCTAACATTGCTCCTGCTGAATACTTGATAGAAAAATTAGTCAAGAAATGCAAACGTAACTGTGAAACCTTTGGATTAGTAATCAAAATCAGTGCTCATACATGTGCATATAAACTGGTGCATAGTCACAGGAACACACACATATGGGCAATTGAGTCCCATCCAGACATTTTGGACTTTAGCCCATATAAATTACAGTACTTTGAACCAGGGCCAGATGAACTGCATCCAAGAGTATTGAAGGAACAGACTGACAAACTCTGAGAATCACTGTCTATTATTTTCTTGAAATCATGGAGGAGGAGTGAAGTGCTGGATGACTGGAGAAAGGCTAACATTGTCCCTGTCTTCCGAAAGGGGAAAAGGAGGAATCTGGGAATGAGAGATTGGTCAGCCTGTCATCAATCCCAGGAAAAATTCTGGAGCAGATTATAAAGTAGTCATTCTTCAAGCACCTTAAAAGCAATGCAATAATAACTAGAAAAAGGACAAATCCTGCCAGAATAATCTCATCTCATTTTTAAATTGGGTAACCTGATAGACAGTGGGAATGCTGTAGACGTAATACACCTTGACTCCAGATTTTTTAGGAATGCTATAGACATAATACACCTTGACTCCAGAAATTTTTTTTTGATAAAGTGCCCCTTGTTATTCTGATTGGCAAGCTAATTATGGGTGGGCTGGACAGAACAACTGTCAGGTCAATACTTAGAGAGTGCTTATCAATGGCTCCTTCTGAAACTGGGAGGAGGTAACACATGGGGTGCCGTAAGACTCACTCCTGGGCCTGGTGCTCTTCAACATTTTTATTAATGATTTGTATGAGGGGGTGCAAAGAATGCTTATCAGAACTGAAAATGACACAAAATTTGGTGGAATACTTAATACCCTGGAAGGCACACACACAAAAAGAAAAAAAAATATTATGATACGTGGAAGGACTGGGTTGAAAACAATGGAATGAAATTTAAAAGGGGAAAGTGCAAAGTTCTACATTTAGAGGGGAAAAACCGAACACACAGTTATAAGATGACGGCTACTAGGCTCAGTAATGCTATGAGTGAGAAGGAACTTGGAATTGTTGGTCACAAGCTGAATATGAGCCAACAGTGCAATATGGCTGCAAAAAAGGCAAACGCTATTTTAGGCTGTATTAACATAAATATAATCTCCAAATCCCATTAAATACATGTTGCCCTCTGTTTGGCATTGGTGAGACCCTCTCTTGAGTATTGCTTCCTGTTCTGGACACTGTACTTTTAGAAGGATGCTGGCAAACTGGAGCAAGATCAGAAGAAGGCAACAAGATTGATCAGGGGCCTGGAAACCAAGCCCTATGAAGAAAGTCTGGAAGAACTAGCCATATTTGACCTTGAGAAGAGGAGACTGAGTGGAGACATGATGGTATTTTTCAAATACTTGTCGTACAGAGGAGGGCAGGATCTGTTCTCAATCATCTCAAACTACAAGGAGTGTAATAATAGGTTCAAGTTACAGGAAGCCAGATTTGAGTTGAATGTTAGGGAAAACTTCCTAACTGCTATGCAGTATGACAATGGAACCAACTGCTATGGGAGGCGGTGAACATTCCAGCACTGGAGGTATTCAAGAGAAAAAAAAGAGATAATCATATGTAAGACTTAGATTTGGATTCCTGCATTGAGCAGGAGGTTGGACTCGATGGCCTTGTAGCCCCCTTCCAACCATTATTCTATGATTCTGTGAAATTCCAGCCAATATGGTCACTGTTAAAGGATCATGGGACTTGTAATACTAGGCTTCTGTAGGGTATTGGGTTGCCTCCCTTTGTGATGTCAGCAAATGGAATAAATTGGTGGGCTTACTTGATTGTCATAAGAGGTAGGCAGAACGGTAAATATGAAATAGTGTGTTGTCCCCACCATCACTCCTGGGGAAGACATATGGCAGAAACTTCTACAGGTCTGTGGTTTAGGTCTCTGGCTGTGGAGCCAGAGGTTGGGAATTTGATTCCTCACTTTGCCTCTTTGATAGAGACTGGACTAGATGATCCATAGGGTCCTTTCCAGCTCTGCAGTTCTAAGAAGATAAATCAAGGCCAGACATTATATATGAGGTATGGATCTGATCATGACCAGTCTGCTTTTGCAAATCCAGGTTATAATATTTTTTGCCCCTTTGGTCCCCACCTTTGATTCATATAAAAGGGGTCAGAGTAAGATCAAGAACAGCATTATTTGCCCACTGCAGGGCAATTTCATCACCCACCCAATAGTTCCGATGGCCTTGCCATATGGCGAAAGCACAGCTTCACCTCCTGGAAATCAAGAGCTATGTCTCGATGAAACTCTGCACCAAAAAAAGGACTAAATTCTGCAGCCAGAATCAAGTAGATACATTCTGATCACTGAAGACCGCTCTGCCAAGAATATCAAGAGTAAGTGGATATAGAAAGGTAAAGGAGAAAAAAGGTGAAGGTCAGGGGATTATGAAAATGATTATGCTTGCATTTATAACAGCTTTTCACCCCTTGATTAGCTATACAGTGGTGCCTCACTTAGCGATTGCCTCTAACGATGTATTCGCTTAGCGGTGAGGTTTTAGGAGCGATCTTGCGCTCCGTTTAGCGATGTTTCCAATGGGGGAATTTCGCATAGCGATGTTCAGGACCTTGCTTCACTTAGCGATGACAGTTTAGGTCCCCCTGTTTTGCTTAGCGATGTTTTTGACAGCTCCGTTTTCGCTATTTTTAAAAGGTGTTAAATTGTTTAAAAAGGGTTAGAGTGCTTGAAATCGTTAGTGCACGTAATAAACCCTTTGTTAACCAAATTTGGCTTCGTTCTGACTCTTTTTGAATTTTTGGTGATTTTTTTTCTCCCCCATTGAAATGCATTGAAAGGGTTTCAATGCATTCCAATGGGGGAACCGCGTTTTGCTTAGCAATGTTTCCTATGGCGATTTTCGCTTAAGGACGGCAATCCATTCCCATTGGAACGGATTATCCAGTTTTCAATGCATCTCTATGGGAAAACGCCTTTCGCTTAGCGATGTTTTCCCATAGCGATGAATTTTTTGGAACCAATTAAAATTGTTAAGCGAGGCACCACTGTACTGAAGAAATATGTACATAAATAGACCTGGGAGTCTATGACTGTATAGATGATCTTGTGTTACAACACCTATTATCCATGATCATTGTCTGAGAGGGTGTGAATAAGGAAAATCCAAATCATCATACCTGCTAAAGACCAGCTGTAGGGACTGCAGTTTCATGGACCTGAAGATGACCTTAGTTTATCTCCTGGTAGTAACCACAGCCTATCTCCACTGCAGGGATGAGGGATGAACGACCATCCTCATACTGTTAAATAACAGATGCTACCAGGCCAAATCAGATTCTGGTGGTACAGTAGATGTTGTGATGGACTAGGACTCTGGAGAACAGGGTTCAAATCTCCACTTGGTTCATGGAAACTCACTGGGGGAGTGGAACCACTCCTTAAATGTATCACTTATTTTGAAAGCTCAATTAGGGTCACTATAGTTTGGTACTGACTTCACAGCACAGAACACACGCAAGGACACCAGGCCTAATCAGCATAGCCAGTGGCTAGAGCTCATGGGACAGCTGCTTTTCCTATCCCTACTTTAGCAATAAACAGGGCAGATATGAAAATCAGAGGAGACCTGGTGGAATCAGAACAAAGGTCTTTCTAACCTGGAGTTACCACAGAGGTCAACTAGATGCCCCAGAAAAACCCAAACATTGCAGCTGCCAGCTGGA